AACCACATCCCAGTGTATTGGCCTGCTTTACTTGCAGGTATGTGGGATTCAGGTGGGAAGGCTTGATGTAATGCAACAGCTTCACTTCTGTTTCGCTGCCAGAGTACATCAGACTTAGAATAGAAACCTCTTTATTCTCCAGGTACAAAATCGCAGAGGAATTCATTCCTGTAATGATGCAATGCAAAGAGTAGTGAGTAGTATACTATATCTCAATGAACTGGGGCGACACAAACTGATCCTTCTCTGCTATTTAGTGTATTCTTCATGCCACGACACATTATTTAGCACTCTGGTCCAACCCATTGAGTTTAAGCTGACAGATGCCTTAGATAAGATGATTACTTCACGGAGCTAAGGTTTTGTCTAAATCCAGAGATTGTTTTAATAGGTGTAGGGGAAGGTTAGCTTTAAAGGCTTAGAGGTAATAGTGATGTTGAAAGGTGTACAGGGATCACAAATGACTGTTCCCTGGCACACAGTAGCAGAACTTCTCATTCGTTGGACAAGTAGTACTTTACAGTCTGCTGGGAACTCCATTACCCAAGCTGAGATCAGCAGAGTTTCCATTAACATCTGATGTACTTCCTTTGTAATTGTATTACACAGTTACTACAGAACACATCACTAATAAGAAGTATTTTTTTGTTGAACCATGTAAATCATGTTCTCATCAGACTGTGGCCTGTGTTTCAGACTATCATCACAATCTAATCGGGAAACTTTACAAATATTCTGCTTTACTACTGTGGATGGATTAATCTGTGCATGTGGCGTGCAGATAGGGCCGAATATAAACTGGTTGCATACTGTACCTGTCAGTGAAGCTGGACTGTGTGTCACTCATTGGGCTTCCGATTCTAGATTTGCAGCAAATTATATCCTATTAACATTTTCCAGAGTGTGGTGAGGCGATTTCCTGGAGCGTCCTTCTCTGGCATTCGTCTGAAGTAGGCAGGGATTTTTTGAGAACGGTGCTGAGAATCAATTAACTGTAGGACACTGTTGGGGTTGTTGCAAGGCACGTCCAAACACTGGGTGAAACAAAACAAAACAAAACAAAAAAAAATACTGCCTATGCTCTCTGTCAACCAATACTCCTTGTGGGGGGAAAAAATAAATAGCAGCGAGGAATCTACAGTGCAGACCTTAAAAAATTAATCGGGGCCTCGGTCGTATTAGCTGCACAGTCAGATGATATCCTACCCCGGTAATAAACAATATTTTGGCAACAACAATAAATATACTGCTCCAGCTGGCACAAGTTGTCGTGCATGTATGAACTCCTTGTGCGACTCCTTTTTTGCATTCACATCCCAGGTTTGCGCCGATATGAAATGTGTAAACAATCCGTATTCCAATGTAACAGACACCTTGGCCCTGCGATGTAAGTCCGTCTGCCACCACCCTCTGCTCGGCCGACTGGCCTAAATGATCTTTGAAGATGCTGGAAATTCCTGCAGTCCCATTTGGTATTCCCTGCTCCCAGAAATGCCTGTCTGTGGCTGCGGGGACGACTCTCCCGTGACCATGAGAATCGCTCGATACCGAGTTTAAACGACCCGTGTTACAAATTAGCAACACAACTGCAGCTAATGTTAAACAGACCGTGGATTCAAAAACCAAACGGGCTAGTTGAGCGTTAACAAAAAACACATTTGTTGTTTTTTTGTGGAAAATCTTTTTTTCTTTTCTTTTAAAAAAAAAAACGGCAAGCTGGCTGCCGTTGAATCTCGCCAGCTACCAGCTAACAAAACAGATGAGCTCTTTCAGCAAAAAAAACTTTGCTTCGTGTGCTCTTGTTTCGAGTGCAAACTAAGCAAACTCCCGTTCACAACAATGAGCCCGGCCAACCACCGAAAAAAATATATATACACACACAACACCTCATGAATAGTTTGGCTGGCTTGCGATACGTCTCCGTGTTATGTCCTTCAAAAAGTCTCCTTGAGAGGAAAGGGGAAAAAAAATCCTGTGGAGTCGGTTAGCACAGCGCGACGTTCCTTGACTCCATGTTTCCAGAATTGAGTCGTTTCTCAGCAGAATTCCCGTGGATGGAAAGCAGGCTAGCTATGTGGCCAGCTAACGGGACAGAAAGTATCAACCACTCCTCTGTAAACAACGACGAAAAAAACGCCAACGGGCTCGAAACTTTTGGCGAACGTCAAACGTTGTTTTTTCCAACGCAAGACGCTATTTGTGCGAGATTATAACTTGTGGAAAGGTACCAAAAATCCCACTTTCCGCCGCTAGCAACGCCCTAGCCAGCTAGCTGTTGGAGTCCAATAGCGCTTCCACTAACCACTTCCGCAGGGAGATGGGAAAATTTACTTTCAGCTTAATGTCAGGGAGCACTGCTGTAAAATAACACAAAAACAATGCTGCGACGAGAACGATGGCACTACTGCTGCTACTACCAGTAATAACAATGGAGTATTTTTATTTATTACATTTTTTTTACAGTAAAAGAAAATAAATAAATTTTGCCTTATACTACTATTCATCGTTGGTTATGAGCAAAACCAGACACGTTTAAATGATTTTTTTTAAAGTATTATATCTATATTAGACCCCTAATGATTAGTCGATTCATCATTTAGTTAATCAACCAAAAATTAACTACCTACATTATTTTCAGATTAAATGGTATTTTGGACTATGTTGTATTTTGTTTTATTTTTGTATCTTTGTATGTCAACGTATTTAACCCTATTCAGGACTTTTGGGGTCTTCTGGACCCCAGGCCATTTGGTTTAGGTGACAGGTATTGTTTTGTTTTTATTTTTGAAGATTTTTTTTTTTATTTTTATTTTTTAAGTATAATAAAGAGGGACATTTGTCATGCATTTGGAACCAAACATACGTCAACTTATTAGAATTTTTTTTTAACAGAGTATAAAAGTCTATAAATATTTGGCACATATTCTTTCTTGGGGTCCAATGGACCCCGAAAGACCTTCTATGTATGGCAACATGAAAGTCCTGAATAGGGTTAAGTAGCCCCTTACCATACACTGAGGTTATTCAAAAAGTGCTCTGAAGGCCAAAAGTGTGTAACAGATTAGATACAAAGCACAGCAGAGTAAAATTGAATTAAATCAAAAACAGAACAGGCAAGGTGAATAAAATGCAGGGGAAATGGTTGAAAATAGCTGCAGAAAAACACAAAATATGAGAAAACAAAAACAAAGATAAAGCATAAAAACAATAACAAAAATGGACTGCTTCCAGCTTCTCTTGCATGTTTTTGGTGTCCTCTAATGGAATATCTGTGGATTTCAGATTTTTGATCAGACAAAGCAAAATATTTGAAGATGTAACTTTGTGATGGACTATTTGGTCCCATTTTATTGGCCTAATGATGACAAAACACATCTCTCTGAGAGAGAGAAACATGTCATCTTAATTGGTCGATTAGATGACGGACAGAAAAATAATCAGCAACAAAGCTTAGACACTGAATTTATTGTTTGATTCCTATTTGTTCACATTTCATTCACCAAATGATTAAACAACAAAGTAAATGGAAAATAGTCATTATGTATAACCCTAATATATACTTATATGTTTATATGTTTAGTTGATCAACTAATTGATTATTCTACTATTTAACACATGTCTCTGACAGACAAAGAGAGAGATGTTATGTTTATTCGTCAATAAACTCATTAGCTGATGGACAGAAAAACAATCAGCAACAGTTTAGACAATCAATGAATTGCTCAGGCATGTTATCAAGCATTATCACGCAACATTAATTCTCTGGTTGTAGTTTCCTAAATGTGAGGATTTGTTGGTATATTCCTTCATAAATTATTGTACTAGACATCAGTGGACTTATCTTTACAATTTGTGGCCGGTGTTTTTCTCTAATTTTTGGTGTTTTATTGGCTAAACAGGGAAGTAACAATGAAAGTAACCATTAGTTAAAGCCCTAGTTGTTTTGATAGACATCGCTTGAGGAACTTTCCTTTGGGTGCTTGATTAACTTGATAATTATGTGTTGCTGTGTGACTATTTCATGGTTTTGGTGGCTCTCTGTCTGTCTGTCTGTGGTTGGTCTGGGACCAGGATAGTCATTATGTTCATTATGTACAGCTTAGTCCAGTCTTTTGTCCATAATGTGCAAGAAGACACCCCGATTTTGATTCCCTACCTTACCCAAAGAGAAAGAAAGCAAGAAAACAAACACAAGTCACTGCGTGTAAAGTAAATCTATCTGGAGGCTTCCCTTCCAGTGGATGAATTTATTTTGTTGGAATACTATCTGTCCACCACTGCAGAGTTGGCACACACAAGGTTTCAACACTGAGATCCATGTACACTGCAGCCGATTCAATCAATATTCACTGACTCCATTAGTAATCCAGTGCCTTTTCATTACTGTATTTCATTACTTGATTACTGTATGTTCGCATTTTTGCAGTTAAACCTATAAGAAAAGTCAGTTTTATCGTTTAGGACCCATTTTTGTAGTTCCTCAGCAAATCTGTCTCAATCCTAGTTACATAAATATCCAGCGTTTGTATATGTGTGAATTATTCTTCTAAACTAATCTGTTGTCCCACGAGCATGCTAAATGTATGAATTAGTACACTGTATATCTTTCCTGTGCTGCGTATTGCAGACCCATTTCAATATTCATGTTTGCAGCAGCTGACAATATACTGTACATATGATAATAAATGTAGTACAGTGTGAATTACATAAACCTTGTCCTCAAAAAGCAGCAACCAAACGACGACGAACTAGAAGGAAAAACTAATTAAAAGTATGTGACAGGATTCTTAGTCGAAAATTAAGAAAATGTGCTTTTCATTCCTTTTAATGTCATTATTTTAGAATTGCCAGAGGATCTTCCTCTTGTTTCCTCATCGATCACTCATATATAATTGATATGACACCATCATGTGGACAGCTTAGGTAACTTCAGCCTCAGTCCAATAACTCATCTATCGGTGGCACTCGATTCAAATACAGCCAACACCTCTGTCTGCACATTGACTTTCAAAACAAACCAATAACATGTCACATTTTTATTTCGTTCTAAACAGGGATTACAAAGGTGAATCATGAAATCCCAAAATAGTTCTGCAGTACACCAACTCTTGTGCTGGAAAGTTTACAGTACAGCCCAAGAGAAGAAAAACATTAGGAAGGTACATTCAGATAACTAAGGCACACACCAGTTAGATTTGTACTTTCTAGGATATAACGGTGATGCACACAGAGATTCCTAAGACCGGTAAACAGACCTTGTATAAGAGTAGCATGTCAAATATAAATGACAAATATAGAGATGACGTGTTTTACGGCAGAAATACATGTGCAGTAAAATAACAAACAAAATTTTCTCATAATACACACAAACATAAAAGCTGGTAGTTTCATAACGTTCTTGGCAATGGAGGGTACTCAGTCATTATACTCTCTATATAAATCAAGTCATCTGCCTTTATCCCGTGACGGTTGGCCTTGACAGCAGCAGATGCTTCTCTCAGAGAATAAGGCAAATGTAGTGAAGGGCAGCACATTTCAAAAATGTTTACAGGTGCTGCATCTGAAAAAAAAAAAAAAAACTGAAGCAGGAGTCAGACAAAAGATTGGCGCGCTGTAGAGATAGCTCACGACATAATTGTCAAGTCTCGACGATGTCTGACAAGATCTCTGTGAGACTGAAACAAATCCTGTACTAAATTCAATTAACTGGGAGCTTTCAGTACAGACTGCAGATCTTTTGTCTAAAAGATTAATCACGTAGGGCCACACTCGCATTGTTGGTATCGGGGAAAACAGACATTTCAAATAACTTAAAATACTATATATTGTACAAGTTCTGGGACCATTTCACCAAACAACTGCAGGTAATTATAGTTAAAATAAATATCCAAATGGACGCAAAATCATAACAACACCAGTGTAAAACTATGTAATTGAGAGGTTCCTCGTGTATCCCGTTACACGAGTGAAATAAAATAAATTAACTGTTTTTAGGGGCACACTCTGGAGTTGGATTTCAGACAGCAGGAAAAAGCTTAGAAGAATTACTATAAACAAGATTAAGCAAAGTAATGAAACACATCACACACATTTATCTGGAATTCACTCTGACTATCTGACATTACTTCATTTCCCTGAGTATACCTTTCAAAACTGCTTAAGGTTTCACACACTCTAAAAAAGACTTGAGAGGAAACCGATCCTAAATTTCTGATATGACTAAGATGTTTCTCAGGGACCACGGCCTTTACATGTAAACTGTTTCTTTCCCAATAGTGAACTTCCCTTTGGAACAGCAGCACCACATATGACTAGGCCACAGTTCACTGCAACATCTGCTCATGTGTTTATAGAAAGTGCTTTGGTTTTCATTGACATAAACTCCATCTGTGTTTGTTAATTGCACCTTTTACGTAATATTCTAACATGTTTAGCTGCAACACCTGCGTAAAAAAAGGAATTTCTTTCAAAATGCAAAGGTGTTGGACCTTACAAAGAGATGCCATAGTATACTGATTTTAAAAATCCCTTTTTAATCCTAAGTTAACATACACAAAGTTGATTCCTTTTCATTGTGTGTCCAAAGTGAAAAACATAGACATATCAAAGCCAATCAGTCCTTCTTCCCTTCATGACCATTAGCTGCTACAGTCTCTTGGTGATCTCTCTTCTGTTTTTGCCAGGTTTTGCTCTTGCGTCTGGCAAATCGAACAATGTCTACCATAAAGACCCAGGAGAGCGCGTACATTGCCACTCCCCCACACTTGATGAAGAATCTGGGTCTAGGGGAGATCAGCTCACAATAAAGCATTGTGCCTCCCACGAAGATTCGCATCACCACAAACAGCAGCACAAACAGGACGTCCACGACGTCCCCCAGCAGAGTCCCGTAATGTCCCGTCTGTTTGAGGAACCAGCGCGCCTGCAGGAGGGGGTTGGTGATTTCACTGCCAAAGAGGACCGCGCAGGACTCTATGCCAGACTCCCCCAACCACAGGGTGAGAAGGATTCCCAGGATGCTCATGGTGTGGTGGGCCAGCATAACGGGCCCCTCTGTGCGGAAGTACACGCACCAGGCCATATCAAAAATAAAGTAGCCCAGGCTTACCACCATGGCACTTATCTGCAGAGGAGTGTTCTTAGTACCTGGCATTCACAAACAGAAACAGACAGGATTTAGTTAACATTTTTTTTATTGTAAGCAAAAGCACTCATGCAATCACTGTGACAAAACAAGTTGTTGCTGTGAAAGGATCATGCTATCTTCAATATCAAGATGTTAAAACATCTGTTACACAAGTAAAATTGTGTGCTATCTGCTTCAGGGTGTTTTTTTCCACACTCTGAAAATCGTTCCAGTTGGTAGTTAGAAGCAAACTGCGCATAAAAACAACTGTTTCAAGCTGTAAAATTCTTAACACCATACGTTGGCAATTTGTAGCAAAAATGATCAATCAAGAAATTGTTGATGTGTAATTCAAGGCATTTTTCATGCAGAGAAGCAAAATATCACCTAGTTCCAACTTCTCAATCGTGAGGATTTATGTTTTTGTTTTTTGTTTTTTTCCTCTGGCTTAAATGAGTCAACTGAACATCTTTAGTTTTGAAGACATCAGCTTCACCAACCAGTACCAAAATATATCCAGCAGATGAATTTATACTGAAAGTATTTGTTACCTGCACCCCAAAGCACTGTTTCACTGTCAACATATTGATGTGGTATCAGACTACAGATTTGCACTTTGCATCCTTGTGACAGTCCTTGTTGTAATTTATGTTTAGCATGTATGTATAAACAAGTTACACAGTGATCATTTGAATCCACAGAGGCTAAATGCCCTACCTGGATAAGTGAAGGGCCAGGGTCCGTCCACGTAGCCTATGTACGCTGTGATGCAGACCGCCAGGATGCCGTGCACCAGGGTGACAAGGCGACAGTTCCATTCGTAGCTCCTTGACCCGTTAACATTGCACAAGATGAAGTAGAAAGACACCCAGCAGCACAGGCACAGGAATGCACAGACCACAACCAGTGCCATCTTCCCTCCTGAAGACAAAAAGAAAACAAGAAAAGCAACTAAAACCAACTGAAATTAAAGCAGCTAAACCAAACCGTCAGCAGTCATTAAGCCAACTTTGAGTCATAATTCACGGTGAGATAGAAACGCAAGGAAGCACATCTTGCTCTGTAATATCGCTTACAGTAGAAAGAAACAGAATTACCATCCAAAGACTTGGACTGTGCACCCTTTGTAAATGACCAACAATTAGCCTTTGCTTGAACTATAATGGTACTATAGTTGGCTGGCTGAGGGTCTGGTGGGGTGAGGGGGACGTCTCTTCTTCAGCTGTGACGTTTGTACTAGGAGGTGAGACCATACAGATGGACAGGCCCACCCTCAATGGACTGGAACAAGATGTACACTCGATTCTCTAAGACTTCAGGCAAGTTTCAAAACTGGACGAGAGGTTACTGGGTGCCGGGCCTCAGACAGTTCCCATGAGGGCAGCGACTCTTTCATTAAGTGGCATGTGCCCTTTGAAACCACTACGAATCAGTCCACAAAGTATTGTTGTTGACTCGGTTGTTGTACACAGATAAGTTAAAAGTTGTGCAGTTGCATGGATGTGAAGATGACACATACTGATGAGTTATTACATATAGTGAGAAAAGTTAGTTTGGGTTCCTTTATCAAACACTTTAGACACACATAGTAGCATGCACAATAGGGTGGCAACCACAGACTATTTTATGGAGAAAGCATTCAAAAATGTCAAAAAAAAGAGGCGGTAGTAACCCAACATGATGTATTCGGATTGTTTGATTTGTCCACCCAACAGTCCAAAAACAAAAAGATATCTGGTAAGCTACTGTTTATCAAGAAGAGCAACAAATCCTCATATTAGACAGGAAAAAAGCTATAAATGTTTGGAATTTGTTGCTTGAAAATGACTGAAATTAAGAATCCCTAATCAAATTAATTCATCTGTTGATCAACTGGACTCGTCATCAATTTACTGTTTTACCCATGACGCAAAACAGCTTTTATGGATGAGTTAAACAGCACTGAGGATTTTTTGTGCTTTCTGAATGAGCGAATAATTGGTTGTTTAATTTGTTTTGGCAATCTTCTGTCATAAGCAACTTATGCATAACACACTTTGTAAATACTTTCAGAACAAAAACAGAACACTGTAAATTCATCCAATCCAGCATTGGATCTGGATGTTAAATGACAAATACATTTATAATGAAATACAAGTATAAACTGCATGCAACACAAACAAGAATTAGAGATCGTGTCATGCATAAAACTGAAGCGTACAAAACTCCAACTATCTATCCAACCTCTTTAACAGTGACATGCAAAATTGCTATAACAGATAGATTGTGCATTTTGTATAGTTTATCTGTCATACGTGTTTTGTAATCTCTGTGAACCTGTCATTCCAGTTTGGGAGCTACTGGACTGAATGAGGCCCTTCCCTGGTTAAAATAAAGTCATGTATACAGATGAGATGCAAGGGCTGCACTTACTTTCCTGAATGAGAAAAGTGAAAGTAGGTTGCTTAAGATGCCCATTCACAGCACAACAACTAGGTTCCCACTGAAACCTGTAAAGATTTTAGTGCACTAGTTTGATTAATTCTAATGTTTTTATTCCCTTTCAAACTAATTCATAGATAGTAACACCGATGGCAGGTACTAGTGAAAGGACAGCAACATCAGCAGCGCTTAAGAAGATGCTGTCACAACAGGCTAACTGCCCAGTTAGCCTGATCAGACAGCTAGCTAACCGGTTAGCTAATGGCTAACGAAGCGCTTCCATATGGGACTGTTCACAAACGATAGTAAAACATCCTTACCTTGCTGGTACACATGTGGCTGTCTCTCCGTTTACATCCTGTGTGTGTCCGTGTACTCTGAAGATACGCTTTTAAAGGAGACGACCAAAGGTTTGCCTGTGGACACACTAGCTGCTATTTGTTGTCTGAGCAAACAACAGCCTCCCTCAGCATCCCTTCATTCCTGCTGTATCTTAGTTAGCCGCTGTAAATGGAGATGTAGCAGCTTGCTAGTAGCATACCGCGGGTTGTGCCCTGGTTGTATTAACTCAAACTAGACCGTAGTTACATATCACGACAAGCTTATTAAATATTTAGCAGGGGGAAAAAAGCATGTTCCCATCCTTCCTGATGTCTTCCCAAAGCGGTGGGAGGTTTGGTCCTCTTTTCTGAACAGCAGTGACAACCTTGTGGCCGATAGCAGGAACTACACACATCCTCCAGTAGCATAGGGACAAAATGGAAGATATTATATTATATTATATTATATTATATTATATTATATTATATATTAAAAAGATTCAGTCAAGTGTTGACCAAATATGTGTTCACATCTGTGTTTGTGCAAGAAATTTGACACCATTTTTTCTTTGCTCTCAAAATGTTTACACAAAAAACAAACATGCATTGAAACAAGTCCTGCAGGTTAAAGAAATTGAAATGAGTGTTTAACTATGGCGAAGAGCTGTAGATACGTGTAAAAGAGAATGTGTAAAGTCAACCGAAAGTTTAGTGCAAACTGTGCAGAGTCTGATGACGGGAATAAATACACTTATTAACAATAAATACAAGGTTTTTGACACTTTGTGTGGTATCTGGGTGATGGATCAGAGAGAAATGTTGCTAAAATTAAATGTTATCACGTATATATAATTTACAGTTGCTCCTGCCATTTTGGACTGATTCAAATGTTCATAGTGGTAGCCGGTGGGAAGCAACTGTTTTGTGTCTGGTTTGTTTTGCCATTCAGTGCTTAGCGCCAAATAGAAGGGACGAGTTGGAACAGGTTGTGTCCTGTCCAGGTTGTGATGGGTCTACTCAGTCTAGCACCTATGACTTTCTCCTCACTACTGACTTGCAGTCTTTCACTGTGTTTTTTGCTGGACAATCCAGACCAGACAGTCAGTGCAGTGCAGTGCATAGAACACACTGGATTAATGCTGCATCAGACTGGATCAGCAGCTCCTGGGGTTGAACTTCCTGAACTGGTACAAAAAGTATATCCTCTGCTGGGCCTTTTTACGACTGCATTGAGTATTCATTTCCGATCTTGGAGATTCGAGGAACCTGAAGGTTTCCACAGTTGACAAAGTGCTGTTGAGTATGGTAAGGAGGGGGCAGTGTAGATGGGCTCCTTTGAAATCCACTGTCATCTCCTCAGTTTTGTGTTCAGCTACAGGTTGTTGTGACTACCCGTCTGTATGCAGACTTATCACCATCTCAGATGAGGCCAATGACCGTTGTGTCGTCTGCAAACTCTTAGAGACAGCTCTCCTGAGGTGTAGTCATTTGTGTAGCGAGAAGAGAGCAGAGCTAAGTGGGGAACACACATCCCTGGGGGGGTGCCAGTGCTGAGTGTCTGGCACTAGATGGGATTATATTATATATGACACATTGTATTGGGGCCCTGCGATGGACTGGCGACCTGTCCAGGGTGTCCCCTGCCTTCGCCCTAACTTGGCTGGGATAGGCTTCAGCCTCCCCCGCGACCCTCGTGAGGATTAAGTGGTGTATAGATGATGGATGGATGGACATTGTATTGGTCAGTTGGTGCAAAAAGCTGCTGCAATACTTCTAACTGGTACTGGCATCCCAGCACTGGCTACCTGGTAAATACAGAATTGATTTCAATATTCTTTCATTAGTTGGTAAAGCCATGCATGGGTTGGCCCCTGGATTCATTCAGAACTTCTCTGCCCTTAAGCTACCCCTCTAGAGCACTAAGATCCTGAGAACAACTGCTTTTAACTGGTCCATGATCGAGGGTAGGCGGTAGGTGTCTTTGCAGTGGAAGCTTCAAAACTTTCAAATAAAGTCTTTCATTAAAATATTCCTCCTCCTTTGACATTTTAAAGAAAAATCTCAGTAATAGTCTCACTGCTTTCCCTTGCTTTTTAAGGATTTTACTGGTAATTTTTGTTTTGCAAATTGACTTTACAAGTCTTTAGCTCATCTTACTTTTAGCACATATGTTTGTTGTGGCCTTTCTTATAACACGTACAGCACTTCGGTCAACTTGGATTGCTTTAAAACGTAATATCATATTTTTGTTCTACCAAATGTAATAGGTGGCCGAGAAAAATCTTGCCTGCACGACCAGGATTTAAACCAGACTGTTTAAAACGCTGTTTATAAAAGCCTGTGATTCAAACCCTGGCAGTAGGCCTTGTCAAAGTATCCTCAAGCAAGGTATTCAGTCCCACCCTTTGCTCCAGCTGCATCTGAGCCTGACCTCCCAGAAGTGGAGCAGCAAACACATATTTTCCACATGTACACAATCACCAGCATCACCAGAATTAAAAATGATGGTAGCCGATGACTCCACACTAGGACCTTTGTTAAATGTTCCCTCTTCTTTTCCCTCATTTCCTAAACACTGTTCTACAAAAATGCCCCCAACACATTCAGAATAATCAACCAATTATATATGCAGTGCAAAGAAAAACTTTATTGAAACAATTAATGTAAAACAGCTCTTAAACGGTACATTACCTAACTGCTTCATATTCTCCTTATGGCAATTTTTTTTTTACAACATAATCAAAACTCTTTCATAGAAAAAATATGTTTAACAGCTTAATCTACAATTACATAGCAAAAATATCAGTGGAAATGTTAAGGCACTTAATCACCATAGAAGGCCACAAATAGAAATGTTTCACTCATTTGGTTCTTTAGTTAGCAGGACATACAAACACACAAAACACAGAAATGTACTTTTGATAAGGCAGCGACGACTGAAATGAAGATGGAGGTAAGACAGTCCAAAAAGCCTGCTTCAGCCTATTGCTCTCAGACAGACAAAACTAAATTTGGTCCCACAAGTTCAAGAAGTGCTCCTTGAGTTACACATATGAATGAGCAGGGCTTTGAAATGCATAAATTATAAACATTTAACTGCTGACACGAACAGACAAAACCATAAACCAAAAACCAGACCTCTGGCTGTGGGAACAGAAAACACAAGAAACGGAAACACTGGTTAACCAGAAGATGGCAGCATAGATTATTTAAAACGTCTACACTGCAGTTTTAGTGGATCCTAACTCAGAAAAACACCAAACTGAAGAGTTTGTTTCTGGAAGCTGAAAATCTATACCCTTCTTTTGAGGGTATTTCTTTTGACTTTGGTTTGTTTGACAATGCTTGAACAGACGAAGAATGTGGGCATGAGGTTTCCCCTAAGGGTACAGATGAGGCAGATTAGGACTAAAACTATTAAATATGATCATAAACCTTTTATCTACACCGTCTGTACAGCAATGAAAACAAGGCAACACAGAAGCATGACAGATAGATGAGAAACAACATCCAAAATCCAAGATATTAAGATGTTCTGAGACGTGTTTGTATACTTCTTGTTCCTAAGGACATGTGGTTTAGAAATGTGTACTTAAGAGTTTGTTTAATGCAAAAAGGAAGAAAACTGATGAGGTTATCATAACAAAAAGATACAAAAATAGTCCTCCATAATTTCACTTTGCAACCAAAAATAAATAAAACCAGCATCGGAGAAGCATTTCTTTGTCAGCCTGCTTACGTTGACATAAACCGGCGTTTAGCTGGCAATAAACTGTTTTTCACAGAGCTTTATAAGAAAGATAAATCCACCATCCAAATTTTCCTTCACCAGGATGGAAGATTATGTTCATCTTTGAGTCAGAGTGGGACACTGGTGTTCCTCCGCTGGTGTTTAACTGACCAGAAATGCACTGTCCACCTTTGTGCATACAATAGCTTGTTTGAGAGGTCATAGTTGTTAACATGTGTCACTTGTTCCAATAATTTCTCAATTACAAAAAAAAAGGCACAAAAGTGACAGTTTCTCAGAAAAAAAAAAAAAATCACATTGAAGCTGACAGTAATAAGTCATTTCCCCCAAAAAACAGTTTTAGAATTAGTGGCTCTGCTGCAACTGTCCTTCCTTAAAGGTTTTGGTCTCACGTAGAACCTGAATTCATTTCTGTTTCAGCATGAACATCTGGATCTCAGCACTCTCCACCTGAGACAGCTTCGCTTAGCATCATATAAGCCGAGGTCCAGTGTGACTGCGTTTACTTTGAGTAGCGCGGGTGGAGAAGCATTGTCTTGGTTTGAGGAAAGATGTGTTTATTTTTTCTTAACCACGCAGAGCAAAATGCTAGGTCTCCTCGTCCCACAGGCAGAGCTGTTTTTGGGGAACGTAGTAGGTGAAATGATAGCCCTTGCTGCAGCTCTTTATGCCACACTTGTAGGTGGAGCCTTTGCCGGTGGTGTCCCGGCTCCGGCAGTACTTTAACAGACATGGGTACCACTCCAGACGCAGGCTGTATGTGCAGAGACAAGGCTGCCACAAGTCTTTAGTAGAATGACAGGCCTGAAAGCTGGGTATCTCTGTCGTTTGGGGCAGGACCTCAAACATGGAGCCATCCACCCCTGTAGCACAAAGAGAAGAGGAGCATTACTATCAGTGGTTGTGGCATTTAAAACAAAAGTCGCTGTCAGACAGTTGTGTGAATCACTCACACTCTGATTTCACCCAATTAAATACTGTATTGAGCTGAAGAGGGCAAACAAAGTGGTTAAAAAAAGAGAGGAGATGGTGCAGTAAAAGGGCAGCTTTGTTATGCTAAGGAGATGCTACTATGATTCCCTCTGCAGATAACGGTGCAGAGTGCTTGGTGAACCATGACCATCAACATTGTTTCCTTTATAACAAAGCTGTCAGTGGACAATAGTGCTGTCATATGGATTCTCCTCAGCCCGGATAATTTGGACTTGATGCTATTAAGAATGTGGATTCTGCCGCAAAAGGCCCTTTAAAAACAAATGGTAAAATAAGTCTATCTCCAAAATACACACAATGTACAGCAACTTCTCACAGGCACTGCAGTGTCTCTGTTTCAAAAAACATTTTCAAGGGAAAAGTGGAAAATTCATATGGAATGTAAAGAGTCAAATACGAGGGAAAACACTGATAGCAAGAACAGCCACAGAGTCTTATCAGCAAAAAAAACCCCCAGAAGATAATACTTGGAGTCGTATCACTCAAATGAAGAGGAAAGAAGTGTCTAAAAGATAGAAACAGGGGAGATAGACAGTGCCGGGGTGATAAAGAGTGTTGGTTCAGTGACACAGAGTACAGAGAGAATCTGGAGAGGCTGGAGAGAAAAGACATGAGAGAAGGCAAACATTGTGCTTCAAACCACCAACAGAGCTTACGCAAGTTTGATTGATAAACAGAGATCAGATGAACACTGACCTTTGTCCAGCCAGTGTTTGACATCTGCCTCCCTGGTGTAAATGGCCTCCCGAGCCTCACTGCACATGTTGTGGATGTGGGAGCTGAGCTGCCAGGCTCGACTCAGGTTGACCGCCGCGCTCATGGTCAGCTGCTCCAGTCCTCTCCGGTCCTCTGCCAAGCGAATGGCCTGAGGGTTTTTCTGAGAAGACAAACATGAACGTTGAAGTTCAGACTCCCTGAGCAACACAAATATTTAATTCCTCTGAACTTCACAAACCAGCATCTGCTCTGTCATACCTGTCTGAGGCGGGCCATGGACTCGCTGGGGATGATCTCATTGCGGTTGAGGCGGGAGATGAAGCACAGGGCCTGGTACTGGTTCTGCCCTCTTTCCAGCTCGCCCAGGATCAGCGCTCGGAATATCTTCACATCCTGCGAAATGGAACGGATGAGAGATGACTGGCCGAACAGATAAACAGATGATTCCCGGCAGACATTGAAGTGGTGCACGATGCGACACTATAATAACTTATTGTTTATATGTGCCGGCTCATACAGATTAGTGGAAATATTCTTTCCACCTCGGCACTCAATGTAGCACTTTTCCTGACACTCTAAGTAATTCAATACGTGAACTTCAAAGATGTTCAAACAACTGTCTGCTAAAAGTAAAGAGGGGTTTATATTGACTACACCCATAAAGCCTCATCTGACAGTCTGTTGATACTTTTTATTGTCTGTAGGCCTGTGCGATGTTGCTCCAGTTGCGCTCCGGTTATGTGAGCTGTCAAATTAAAGCCTTCAGCCTGTTTCCTGACAAACTTATCAGAATTTCTCACATTTTACCATGCTGTTTTATGTGGAACTGCATCAGTAGGAAAATGCCAATAATGGGAATTCACAAAAAAAAAAAAATGTGTTGCTGTTGGCAAGTGTGTGAGAGATCTGGCACCAAACCCAAGGCCATAAAGAGTGCTGTGAGGGGGAATGCAAAGCATGATGGGAAGCTCCAACAGTGGGGCGAGCAGAGAAGCAGACCTGTCTTCCTATTCATCAGACACCCACCACCACCCCCCTCCTTGGCTTCGGCTTCAACACAGACACACACACAGTCCCAAACACCCCTCCTCCGCTTTTCACACACCCGTCTGAAGCAAACAGGCTGGAAGAGGAGTAGCAGTTTGAAGGCTTTCGCTCCCTGTGCAGGAGGAACTCTGGGATAGATAAACAGCCTAGAGATAACCCCATTGAGTTCTCCTTAAGCTCTTTGGGCCCACTTCCTGTATGAAAAAAAAAAAAAAGAGTACACACTGGCAAGAAAGCAATACACCCTGCCTCACAAGTGTTTACGCTCCGTAGTTCTTTATAGACTGCTTTGCATGATCACTTGTTCTTTATTCTAAGCACCACTTTTGTGTGCGGAAAGTGTTTCTGGCAGGCGCACAATACAAGCATGGGTATTACACAAGACAATCATGCAATACTATTTGACCTTTGGAAAGAAAATTACTGAGCAAATATTGATTACATCGCTGTGAACCGCCTCAGGATTTAAGACAACATGGACTCAAAGGACCGTAGAAATACAGGCAGTGGAAATGAGATGCCTCAGCTGTTCCCATGCTGTGATACTGATAAGTGGAAATGATTGAACAGAAGACTTAAGAAAGGACAGATGTATAACAGCGAACGCAGTGAGATACATGGAAGAGGGAAAAGAGACGAGCAGGAGTAGCCCTCAAGTGTAGGGAGACGCAGAGGCCGTGACTTCGAGACCTCCCATATTGCAGACACATGGCGCTACGCTGTGTAGGCAGAGAGAGGGAGAAAGAGGAGGGAAGGCATTCGTGTCAGCCACATGGATTTGCCCCAGGGCTTTCTGGGTAATTACAGACAAGCAGGGTAGCTCCACCAACTCTTGCCTCTTTGGAACTGACTCAATGGCGAAGTGTAGACACTGAGGTCCCCTCCTCCTCTTGTGTCATTATGCATCCTGATTAATGATTGTCTACTGCTACTGCCCTGCAGTTGGATTTAGACCAGAAGAGCAACAGTTCTTAAAGTGGCAACAACTCTGACTGATGCAACACTGTGTCAAAATTAAAACAAATATACACAACTGACAATCTTACGGGAATGGTTGTACATTTTGAGAGGAAAAAACAAAAACGCTTCTTTTCTTGCAGAGTTAGATGTCTGTAACCACATGTAAAGATTCAGCCAGCAGAGAATTAACGTAACTTAGCATTAAGACTGGAAAACGAGGAGAACCAGCTGATGCAGTCAGAAAGTAGCCTCTACAGATCACCTCTTGACATGTTGCATCTTGTTTGTTTTGTCCATGCAGAGTTAGAGTGTAAAGATGACAATTTGTGGTTTTATGGGAAGGATGTGCTGTACTTTTTCCTTGGCCACATGTACTAACCATCATGAGTCCTGTCCAGTTACTGATCTCGGCCAAGAAATCATCCAGCATATAACTATATTTTTCCTATTTGAATTGAAGTGTTTGTATTTGACGTGTTATTTTTTGACAGAGCTGGTTGTTTCCCCTGTTTCTTGTCTTCACTTGCTGTTACTGGTATAATATTTATTGTAAAGGCCTAAAAGTGTGATTTATCTTCCCAGCTAAGTCTCTGAATTAAAGGTCCTGGTGTTGTACAATGTTGGTGCAAAGCAAAGCTGATGTAGTTGTTTGCTGCCACTTTGAGGCAGTGTTGAAATGATGGCATAATATGAACAAGTGTAGACTACTCTTGTTTGCGTCTGTGCTGTTGCTGATCCTTTTTTTTTTTTTTTACTCACCCTGCTGTGGAAAACACAGAAGTCATAGGGGTGAGTGGTAAAGTGAAACAGATTGATAAAAACAATGGACTGATGTCAGAGAGCATTACTGGTCGGCCTGTTGCATCAACAATCACCAGCAAATGCATGCATTGGTCAACATACAGAAACGACCTCTTGACCTTTCTGGTCCAAGCCAACCTTTCACCCAATCAGTATTCGACCTACAAATAGCGTCAGTGCCAAGGGGTGACACGCTGTTGGCTAAATGAAGGAATGAGTGGATGCACGTCTCCACAGTCTCTGCGTTGGTTGATGGCCCTTAATCTTTCACTCTGTGTACGTGGAAAGTTGGTCAAACAGAATAATTATTTTCAATTTAGATCTAATTGATTAGTTGTGGGATCTATGAAATGTCCAAAGCCCAAATATCCTGTTTTGTCGACAAACCAAAAATACTAAGATTACTGTCATAGAGGAAAGAAAACAACAAATGTAATTTTAAAAAGCAGATTTTTTTCTCAAAAAATACTCAATCCAGTTATTGGATTATCGTACCATACCATCCACAATAACTCTCAAACTGTTCATTTAATTATAGCAGTGAATAAAATATGTGTCTGTCAACAGCCTGTAGGTCTCCAGCCAACTAAAATGAAGTTTTATTGTGACCTTTAATTGCCAACAACAAACCAGTGTTGAAATCGTAGCAGTTTAGGTGCTGCTGAAATAATAGACAACATAGCCTCTAAAAGCAAATAGAATAATAACAATGACATCATCTCCATCCAGACAGAAGCTGTTGGATTCAGCTGTTTGTTTGAACAAGACTAGACTCACTTCTGCCTGCCTGAAAACCAGCACTGGCACAGCGCTGTGTGTGTATCCTGACTCATTTGTGCAGGCACACTCAAAAGTATGATATAAAAAAAAAAAACACTGCAAAGGAAGTGATGCTCAGTGATGTGATTAAAGGAGGTTTTACACCTGTTGTTATGATGACAGGCGATATCTGAACACCAGGAGAGAGTGGAGCGACTGATCAAAAAGCAGCTCGCTCTTTTAAATCTTCCAAGTGGAGCTTTTTTTTTTAAAGTCAGGAAATTATGCAAAGTGCTGATGGAAAAAGATACAGGTACAGTATCACTGACAGAAGATCACACAAATATGATCAAGGTAGGAGTCATGCTTGGATGGGAGCAGTAGGGGGTAGCTGTTCCCTGCTGTGGCAAAAAAAAAAGAAAGAAAAGAAAACCTGCTTCATCTAGTTTTAATGTTTGAACTGTAAGCACTTTTTGGGCGTTTTCTGCTTCTATCACATTATTACTCGCAGTGGGAATAGATACAGATTAAGTGAGTTTCTGATCAAACGCCTCGAATTAACAAATAAAAAATAAGCTTAATTCTGGTGAAACATATGAACAAGGTAAGCAGTAGGTCAACTTTAGGACAACGTGGTCTGATAGGCCTGCTGGAGCTTGAAAATGAAGAGTAAGGCCACTTAAACTCACAACTACTCCTTAAAGAGGTGACGCCTGCATCAGGAAAATGAGTCAGCCCCTAAAGTGCATTTCCATAGACCTACAAAAATTAAAGGTCTGCAGACCAACATTAGAGAAAATAACCAGGTATGGACATTAGGAATTAAAAGAGCAACATCTCCCGGCCTTGAAAAAGACATAATCAAAGGACAGTGCAGCCTTGAGTTTTTCCCAACCAGTTCCGTGTAAATGTCAGCACGGCTATAAATAATCCGCACAAGTACAGATTCCTTAACGTTGCTCTGTTACACCCAGGAGTTAGTCCATTTGCAGACAAACTACTGCTGGCCAGCAGCCAAACACAAGCCTGTATTCATGCAACCCGACTAGTGGGTCATACTAAGACCTGTTAAACAGCAGAGAGGGTGGGGGGCTCGTTTCATTGGTGGTTACCTTTGGTGGGCCAGATTATTTAAGAGGTGCACAAAAGCCCATTCAGACACTCAAAGGGTGCCATTTACAGTGAACATTCTCCTTCACTGTAACCAAGCGAGCCAAACACGGTCTCTTCACAGAGTGTGTACCTGGTTTACTGGCTGTGAAAACGAGGGCCGTGTGAAGCCCAATACTGAAAGAAAAAGCGGAATTATTTTTATGAGGGTTCTGCAGCTAAGAGCGGTTTAAATACGCTCGTGAAACAACCGCCGCGGGACATGTGCATCTCCCTCCGGGTGCCACGCTAACTGTACTGGCTCACGCTTGCATGCAAGGGTGGATATTCAAACGCGCACACAAATGCATGTGCACACAGACACACTCGCAAACACAAACACAGTGTGCCAGTAACCGTCCCCTGTGCAGTGGGTTCTTCCTGTTTTCAAATCCCCTCTAAGACCCTGTCTGTTGATAAGGCTGATGGCTGGCCGGGGGAGAACTGCTGGTCAGCCACACTCTGATGAGTCATTTGGGATCAGTGCGGGTCTGTGTTGGTATTTGGCTTTGTCTGAAATTATTTTTTTTATTAAGTTGTAGCTGGAACCAAAAGAGCTTCTGAGGTCGCATAGTAACGCAAACTGACAATATAAACTCACATGAAATCAGCATTGTGCAGCCTCCCAGACAATCCATTTGTCTTCCACTTGCAGAAAGACGAGCGATGAAAACTTT